ACGCGAGGTTCGTTTGAACGCGATGTTCAACTTGAGAACGAACGCGAGGTTCGTTAAAAAGGATGAACGTGAGGTTCAACTGAAGTTCGAACGCGAGGTTCGACTGAAGAACGAACGCGAGGTTCGTTAAAAAATGAACACGAGGTTCAACTGAAGTTCGAACGCGAGGTTCAACTGAAGTTCGAACGCGAGGTTCGACTGAAGAACGAATGCGAGGTTCGTTAAAAAATGAACACGAGGTTCAACTGAAGTTCGAACGCGAGGTTCAACTGAAGTTCGAACGCGAGGTTCGACTGAAGAACGAATGCGAGGTTCGTTAAAAAATGAACACGAGGTTCAACTGAAGTTCGAACGCGAGGTTCGACTGAAGAACGAACGCGAGGTTCGTTAAAAAATGAAACGCGAGGTTCAACTGAAGTTCGAACGCGAGGTTCGACTGAAGAACGAACGCGAGGTTCGTTAAAAAATAAACGCGAGGTTCAACTGAAGTTCGAACGCGAGGTTCGACTGAAGAACGAACGCGAGGTTCGACTGTAGCACGAACGCAAGGTTCGTCTGAAGCACGAACGCGAGGTTCGTCTGAAGCACGAATGCGAGGTTCGTTAAAAATTGAGCTTAACGCTCACCTGAGTTGAACGCGAGGTTCACCTTAGAACGAACGCGAGGTTCGTTGAAATTGAGCTTGACGCTCACCTGAGTTGAACGCGAGGTTCACCTTAGAACGAACGCGAGGTTCGTTGAAATTGAGCTTGACGCTCACCTGAGTTGAACGCGAGGTTCACCTTAGAAGGAACGCGAGGTTCGTTGAGCGCGAAGCTCGGTTAAAATTGAACGAACGCGAGGTTCGTTTGAGGTAACCACCTCCTTAATTTTCGCCATGAACCCTTAGGGTTTCAATTAAACCCGCCGCCGACAAACCCAAAAAACCTTTGATTTTTATTTTCAAAACAGATCCAAAATTGGAAAAATTGAAGAAAAAATCAAAGAAAAATCCAAAAAAATCCAAAAGTTACTGTTCACCGACGATTTTTCAGTTACTGTTCACACGAAAAAAAATAATTTACTGCCCACCCGGAAAAAAAATTTCGTTACTGTTCACCGAATATTACTGTTCATCCGAACCCAAAAAAATGAATCTTTAACCAGAGATTTAAGATCAAAAACCCAATAAAACTTAAATCCCTAAGAATTAATCAAGGTGGCTCTCATACCACTTGTTAGATCTACATCATAAAACTTGAGATCTAAAACCATATAGCCATGATTAATTCAAAGAGATTAACAAGAATCTAAAAAGAGCGGAAGCTTATACCTGAATCCATAGATTGATCTTGATTTTGGGTTTTGGATCTTCTAACCTTAGGGTTTTCTCCTTTAGCCGAATTTCTCTCTTAGATGGGGGTGAAGAAAATTAGAGAATGTAACCCTAGGTTAGGGACCATAACCCCTTATTTATAAATGTTGTACTTTTGTAATTTAGCCCCTCAATAAAGCACAATTACAACCTGGTATCTGCACATATAACCCCATGACTTATTTAAATACCAAATTAACCCAACTTAATTGATCACTTTAGTGGGTTATCCTGAAAGATAGCAATACACATTGATTAATCATATGTGCCCACAAATAGATTTATTAGATTAAATCCAACACTGTAGCCTAAGAAAAGTTATATTTGTAAAGAGTAACTCCTTTCAAAGCACGTCAAAAGGTCAAAGTTGATCTAAACACTTTTGCATCATGGGTATTCGCAAAGACCAACGTCAGAGAATAGACGTGGTCACATGGGTGCACGCAAGGGTGTAAGATGTTGAACGAATGGCATAATTAAACCATTCGTCTGTATAGGCCTCATACAGCTACTTGTACACTTGAAAACCAACGGCGTTTAATTTTTCTCAAATTTGGTGCGTGCGGAATGGTTAACCCGTCATTACGCGGGTTAATTGGAAGTTAAATGGTTGTTAAGGGTTTGTAAGCCCATTGGCTTTTTTTGTTGTTGTTTGGGGGGTCAACGAAAGGTTAAACCTCCTTAACCCCTTAAGGGGGGTTAGTCACCTAGAACTTTTGAAGTAGAACTAGGATAATTGGTAAAGTGGGATAATTTTTTAACACTGGGATAATTTAGTGGAACAATGATGAGTAATTATTAAAGTGAGATAATTTGGTAGGATAATTTGGTGGGTTAATGATGGATAATATTATGAAGTTGCATAATTTGGTAGGATAATTTTGTGGGGGTAATGGTGGGTATAAATTACTATTGTTAATAATTGTATATTAAAAATAATATAATATTGATAAGCAAATTCTAGTAATAACTATAAAATATAATGCAATAAAGCATCACTATTCATCTCAAATAATAAAATAATTTACAAATAAATAAAAATCTAAATCCCTAGAGTGACTCGACTTCCATCATCACACATGGCTTCTATCATCCCACATGGCATTTGCCATAGAATTTCTCTAAGCTCCTACAGCTGCTCGTTGAGTCTGTAACTCGTCTTCTTTATCGGAGTCATCGTCTGCATCAGCAACATTTCGTGGAGCTTCTAGTGGAGGATCATAAATGTCGAAGTTCAAATCTCATAACATTATAAAGAAAGAAAAATAAGCATTTTTCAGCCATTAACCCTTTGGACCAATCTCATCATGATCGCTGAAACCAAATCAGCAAATAAATGAAATGTACACAGGAATCATCCAAGACCGCTAAACAGATGATCGACAGATGAACTATAAATATCCCAATCAATTTACTGAGCCGATTTAATAATAATAGATATCACCATTAACCATTCAACATCTAATCATCAATGTGATCGCAAAATTGCTTTCTAACTTATCAGAAAAATGAACGGATGATTGACTTCATGGCAGAGAAATTTTAACCAAGAGGGAGGGAGGCGACGTTTTACTTTTTTTTCCCAATTATATTCTTTCCAATGTGTGGGATAATTTGAGAGATGAGAACTTATGGTTATATATATAGGTAGTATAATCTGTGGGATAATTATGACCAATTATCCCAATTCTAATTCTAGTAGAATTCTACTTGACTAACGCACCAAAAAAATAATACAGTTCTAGTTCTACAAAAATTCTACTTGCCTAACACTATAACTAACACTATAAAAAAATTTCTCATTTCCTAATTCTATATGACTAACACCTTAAAATTTTATCCCACAAATTATCCCAGTTCCAATTTTAAGTTATAGATGACTAATCCCCCCTTACTAACCCATCGCCGATGACTCCCCAATCTATTACAGATATAGAAATGATAGGGGCACACCCTCTACCACACCTCCAACCACACCATCTCTCTCGTTACAGTACACTGGGCCCACATGAGATTTTATTTTAATAAAATTTTATGTGGGCCCGGTGTACTGTAGCGAGAGAGATGGTGTGGTTGGAGATGTGATAGAGGGTGTGCCCCTAGTGCCTCTCTTACAGATAATGATTTTGTGCTCGTTGAGTTCATTCCACAATCTACTCATGTCAGTATAAAAAGGGTTAATTGTGATTAGACCCGTTCGTATCATCCAATTACGAATAGGCTCCATGCAGTTCGACTCCGCTTTAATATCATCCACTTACGGATAGACTCTCAGCAGTTCTACTCGTGACGATTTGACCCATTTAATTAGTATTGTCCCAGGTGCGGATACACCTATATAGTTAACAGTTTTGAGTCTTTAATGTCAAAAATAATTAGTAATTGAAGATCTATCCTCGCTAATAGAATTGCAAGGATCTACTCACCTCCTCAAACATTTTAAACAATTTTAAGGGTGCGAAAAAAACTCAAGGGGTCTATTTGCTAAAAAAAAACTTCACAGTTAACTCAATCTTAAAATATCAATGCAACGTAGCCTTAAACAACCTTAAACAAGTATCATGCTCATGCCCACGATGCACGATGGGTATGTCGCGAGCCTATGCGGAAGCATTGTACGCACACACAACGAA